TTTTTCAATGTCTCTGGACCAAGGCTTATAAATAGCCAAGGTCACCTGACATTTAGTAAGTAATAAATATAAATGTAAACAGTAATTCATCTGCAGGATGGCAGACGGTCGATGTACACAAAAATAGGGATTAACAATTAGGATTAAAATCTTTTAAATAACAGCAATTAAGTGTTTCAAGGCATATAGATGTCATGGCTCCAGGGAAATGAGCCTTTGCAATTAAATGTTCTTCAGACAATGGGTGTCGTAAATCAGTCGCTATGACAGTACTAGTTATCAAAAGTAACAACAAACGAATATGACAGAGATATAATATATTCATAGAGTCCCCAAGAGTTTCTCTCACAAAGTATGACTTGTGATACTAGAAATGTTATTTACTTGATTGTTTGTAGTTGTGCAATGAAAAGTATATCGGAAAGACAGAACTTAAATTAAAAAAAGGAGCTTGAATCTTCACCCTTCACACATAAAGCAGCCACACAACCGAATGATTCCACTCGGTGAACACTTAGATACACGTTGAAGCGGCAACCTTTTAGTTTTCCCGTTATATAAGCTAAATCATGATTATGCACCTACAATGGACCTCGTTGCCCGAAAATCTATAAAACTTTCAAAGATCAATCAATCCATCATAAATCAAACGAGTGTCGCTACTTTCTATATAATATTTACGTCAACTGTTCTAACGACTTTGTTGCCCTGCGTCATTTACAACGTATCTCAGAATAGCAATCGTGAGTTACATGTGCAGTGGTGGTATGGTAGAAGTTGCCTCTTTACATTTTCAAACAAATACAACATTAAACATTTGGGTACCAATAGGTTGGCAACTATCCATTAAACGTGACAGCTTTCTTTATTATGCCAATGGAACATAGATTATTCAAGAATTGACTTCAATAATTTAGTTTATGGAGGTATTTACAAACGAACAGTCTGGAGCGCACACTTTGTGTAAATTCGCAAAAACATATAAGTGAATCCTCGAAAATAAATATCTCAACAATAATAACTTTGGAACTGTTTTAACAGTTTAGTGGGCATGGTCTAACTGTTTTAGGTTTATGGGAATACAAACGCAAACGAAACTAGAAAGTGTTTTTACTCGTAAAAACATATGTCTCCCCCCACTCCCCTAACCCCCATTCATTCGTTTACTTCACGTTAAACCCCATCTCCTCATTCCCACCCTCCATTACTAAATAACAGAGACAAAAATAGAACTCCTAGAAATTTCAAACAACTGATGGGCACCACTTCAGCGTCTAATCAACACCACTAATCCCTCAATCATTTACCCACCTGACAGTGTAGTCATCTAAGTAGCACAGTTTTCTTGTTACTGAAGTATTTGTAGAAAATCCACTTAAAGTACTAATAGAGTTTGGACACAAATATATTAATATCCCCAACATATCAGAAATGATGTAGCAATGTTATATGGCACAAAGGAAAGTCTCTGTGATGTAATTGCCCGTGTATCTGACTCTGCAGGTCTTCTACACAATGACATATGTGATGTCATGGAAACTGTAATAGCAAAAGGCACCACTTCAGTGCTGGGTTAATGTGTATACAAAGTTTCGCGAAAAAATATTAAACGGTTTCCGAGTTATGGTCCGGAAACCAAGCTTACCCCCATTCAGAGTCTATGTTCAAGTTATCTCCATGGAAACGAGAAAAAATAAAAATGTCAGAAATCTCTAAATAGCAAAAGGCACCACTTCAGTGCTGGGTTAATGTGTATACAAAGTTTCGCGAAAAAATATTAAACGGTTTCCGAGTTATGGTCCGGAAACCAAGCTTACCCCCATTCAGAGTCTATGTTCAAGTTATCTCCATGGAAATGAGAAAAAATAAAAATGTCAAAAATCTCTAAATAGCAAAAGGCACCACTTCAGTGCTGGGTTAATGTGTATACAAAGTTCCGCGAAAAAATATTAAACGGTTTCTGAGTTATGGTCCGGAAACGGTGGAAACGGTGGGAACGCCGACGGGAACCGTGCCAAAAACAAAATGTCTCCCTCCATTCTGCGGGAGACATAATCACTGCGTGGTTAGCCAATCAAATGCCATCGAATGTCTAAAAAATTCTTTTTTTTGTAATGATTCTGTCTGCACTTAGTTTTCAACTTACGGGTAACGACTGTACAGTAATGGGCAAATATTTGTACAAGTATCACTTGTCCCCGACTTGTATTTTCATGATCCAAATAAAACTGTTTTCTGTAGCCCCTTAACAGTATCAGAGAATATCACAAGGTCATCACCACGAGACCTTCCACGTTTTAGGAAACTGTAATTGCTTGCTGTATTTCATCCTGCGTTATCTCCTTATCGAGCTCATGCAATCCTACGTCACCTAATAACGGGAACCACGATGACATCCCATCATTCTCATCACCCGTAATGACTCGGAAATAATTATAAAAGTCAACTGAAGAAACGTCAATATTGCCCCTTTTCCGTTTTTAAAGATCGGCATGAAATTGTTTGGGATTCGGTTTTCTGAGTCGATCTTGCCTATTACCTTCAGAATGTAAATGTTCTTTTATTTTTTCTTTCAGTTATTTTATACACTCTTTTCTTATTAACTTAATTTACATGGTTTTCATATGTCTTATTTCTAATAAAGACACAAAGCGCACAAGAGTGATTAGTATAACACGTTTTCAAAGTGTCATCAAATCACGGCTTGTGATCAACCCTGGCAGGTGGTTATGGGTTACGAGTGTCTGGATCAAAACAATAATGGTATTCAACCTGTGTATATTAACAAGGTCAGGTGAAATGGGGTTTAACGTCGCGTTCAAGATTAATGCACTTATATAGCGACGTGCATGCGTGTGTGTGTGTGTGTGTGTGTGTGTGTGTATGCTTGTAGTAGTCCGGACTAATGCCGATTTATAGTGCTAGCACACAGATACCATGTCGCAGCTTAACATGAATACCCCCCTCAAGACACAGTATACCGACTCCGACCCGACCAGCCCTTGTTTTATCCTTGGCAGGGAATCGAACCCCGGACCTTCCGCTCTACCACTAGACCACGGAGGCGGTCCATATTAACAAGAACTGCTTTACTTTGTTCAAGAAAAACTTCACTCAACGATGAATTAGACGCGCTTGTCCCTGAACTTGGTCTTGGTGTGTGACAATGTTGTCGACTTCAAGTGTAAAAAGATACTGTAGACATTTCAACATGGATGGGGGCGTTGTCTGAGAACATGGTGGATATTACAGACAATATACTGATATGACCTTTATATGTAGTTATAATGATAAATGTTTCACATTTAAGGGGTCGGGAATGTAGGCTACCACGTGTGAGGATAAGTAATTTTAGTTCTCGACTTTCTTTGGTTTGTCCTGGTAAATTATCCTGGTTTTAGTCTGTGCAAGGCCAAGCACATGGATGTAAGCAGCCTGGTTCCCTGGGTATGCTGCGCTGGCGCTACAGCTACATCAGTTACAAGTTGAAATATTTCACAGTTGTTTTTATTAAAGCTTGTACCTGTCAACAATAAGCCTTACAATTAAATTGCCAGTTGGAAGAAATACATAAAATCGGTCACAATGGTTCAAGACTGAATCAAGAATGTATGAATCAATCCATGCTGAAGTTTAAAATAAACCATTCAAGACAAGTGTACAGATTTGTGTGTCAATGGCTTAAGTATATCACCTACAAATGGGAACATTTCAAACATGTCAGAAATACATATTAGATAGTCTATGACACTTAATCCACGTGGACAATTTAATGTGAAGTCATTAGCTATGTTATTTTAGGTCGACAATTTAGAATTCCGATTTGATTTACGCAACAACAATTTATTCCCATTCCCATTATGACCGGGATCTGTGGGTTAACGTGTACTGTTGCGTTGATTGTCTGCATCACGTTATCACATGGTCTGCAACTGCACAATGATCTCTCGATGTAGTCATGTTTGGATTGTGTATGATTATGAAGTTTTGTGGTGGGAGGTACAGCAATGCACAAAATAAATCTTTGCTGCAAACAGTTATAGAGCAATGGTTTCAAAACAAATTTGAGCCATTGATACTAGTGAAGATAACATCCTTAATAAGAATAATCATTTCACCTCCTTGCTTTGATTTGGATTTTAACCTTGGGATTACGAACAGTTTGTAATATGGTACATCAAGCTTGAATGAGTTTTCTTGAATGCTGACAAAACGCTTTCCTGCTTTCTTGTATTTCTTTGGGGAATTGCTCCGAAATAGAGAAATAGAGAATTATACATTTTAAGTCTTTTCTAAAAAAAATCACGTTGGAAACTTGCGGAATTTGGCTATGATGGTTCGAATTTTCCCGCTACTTGGCTTTCCAATTCTGTGTGCACATTCTGTGTCCGGCGTCTGTGTTAGCTCCAGCTTATCTGTACAGAAGCTCTGAACAGTAGCCACACAATTCTTGTTATCCCCACCCTCCTGCAGGCTGAAGAGCAGATTATCACGCATAGATCTACATTGTAAATCTATCACATCGTGGAGCTTTCTGTTCAAAGATGAATTCATTGTGGGATGAAGAAATATTCAGCTGCTGGCTAGTTTCTTCTTCATCGGGAGTTCATCCTATTTCTGATAGCTTTCATCCCTTCTTTCTTTTGACCCACTGAGTATTCTATTATGTCTAGTTTCCGTAAACGCTAAGCAATGCCTTCGATTTTAAACAATAAATCATGCGTACAGGGTGGGGGCTGCCATGCGGAAACTGACTGGGTACCCAGTACTGCATGTATTGAGGAATGTTACTCGTAACATACATGTTATGTTCTGACACTGCTTTTGACTGACTTATGCCTGGATAAGCTTCTGTACACAATATTCACATACATACAGTTGCACAAATACTGTCTTTTTGACCGTTCTGACGCAACCCATGGCAGGATGTCATCCCAATGTTCTGAAAAAGGGTGTGGGTAAAAAACATTACTTGATACATTGATGTCAAGATGCATAAAAACTGTTGAAACCATCTTTATTAAGCAAATTTCTCTAAGAAGTATTTACACAAGTTGCTATATAAGTTACCAATATTAAATAAAATACAGAAGAAAACATAAAAATTCACTTTTTTTTAAATCTACCTACAACAGACTTTGAAACTACAGTTGGCATCAATCACTCTGCATTCACTTCTGACAGACGAGCGAGCAACCAACACATAAGTCTCAATTTTCTATGTACATGTTGCACAAAGTGCTAATGACAATGTTATCATCGAATGCCCATGACAATGATACAATCAAAAGAAAAGGTTGCTATTGACAAGTTTAGCACCAAGGCTAAGTCAAATCACAAGGCTGAGCAGCATGGGCTTGCTTGATCACTGGCCACCATATCAACAAACACAAACAAGTCCCTCATGTATAGATTGTGTCATATGTAAAAGTTGTAGAAGTTTCATGTCCAAGCAATTCCACTGTTGCTTGGTAATAAAAGCAAGCCGCTTAATGTGGGCTCAAAATCAACATATAAAATGAACAGGTTTCTTTTCAAAGAAAGTCTTCCAGCATGCATAAAAAGCTTCACATTTTCACAAACTCTGCCAATCATCCATACCTCAGAAAGCAATCTTATGACACATCTGCAAGTAAAAAAGGTCAGAATTACAACAATGAATCACAAAACAACTTATCTATGTAGCACCAAGGCTAATTATAGACAAATACTTTTCCACAAGAGATGAATACAAACCAGACCTATAGGAGCAGCTCAAACTGTCCTTACTGAAATGTAAAGAATGTTGCTTTAACCTTTAGCCTGCTGAATTGTTTTCACACTTCTTACCCCTGCCTGCTGGATTAATTTTAGCATAAGGCGCTCTAAAGAGGGTGGGTGATTTCAAACAGTCGGTGCCTCATTAAACAAGGGTCAATTGAAGAAATATTTTTCACATTTATTCCTGATTGAAAACTACCCAATACTATATAAAAATATCCCGATGTTTTCAATCATACCAAGGTTAAGACCAAAGCGAACACAAAACTTGTAAATTTTCTTGAGCTTACCTGAATTACGTTATTGAAGGTGGTTTGCATTTCATGCTAGGAACCTTTTAATATCCTAACATTTGTGCAAATTGATTTCAATACTCATATCTACGATATATTAATTTTAATTGAGTAAAAATTTGTTGTTTTTTTATCAGCATATAACAGCGCGATGGTAAATTATGAACTATTTCAGTAAATTTATTATCTAATCGTTAAACAGAACTTTATTCGAGGTCATCATGTCCTCATTTCTGAGGTGTCCATATTTTTCACATTTTTATATATTTTAAGGACAAAACGTGATCCGAGTAGATCTGCATGTTTTGTTATGTAAAACAAATTCTTGTCTTAAAATGAGAAAAGGAATCATTCAGACGATTTTTTTTTATCCCATTGATTCACGAAAACCAGTTGAAATGTACAGTGGTGACTTTTGTACCCAAAATTTCTAGTAATTTGTTACCCAAATGTGTATGTGATTTTGTAGATCTAGATCTACCAAGAATTATTTCAAAGATATACATTAATTTTGGTGTCTTAAACTTAACATAATATCACTTTCCTATCAAAAAAGTACATTCTAACTTAGGTTTAACCAACTTAACTGGCCTCTTCTTCAGTGACAAGACGTCAATTTTCTCTCAAAACTAAACAATCAATTTCAAGGATCACAGTCATAATCATATTATGAACTTGATGAAATATTTTATTATGTGTTCTGTTCATCTACATGAAAACATAAATATAATTATAGATCTATTGTCTTATTTTCTTAGGTACAAATTCACAAAGTATTTTGGGTACAATTTAATTTGTTTTGGGTACAAAATCACATATAGGAGCCTAGAATCTATATATATTTACACTACCTCGTTGTGTACCAAAATTTTATTGGTTCAGAGGACGGGAGGTTCTCAGAAGTGTTTTCAACAACATCTTTAATATTTTAAATTGTTCTTTTTGTAATGTTAGACCAGTAAAAATATTATGTTGTTATTATTATGGCATATCAATACGTTATATCGCTCTCCGTTGCGTTCGTTTTCAGAAAATATTTTAAATTTAAAATCATCGAGCGTGAAATCCATTACAGATTCGGATTTAGACTTACACATTTGATGGCGACAATCATGAAGAAATATGAAACAAATAGGAGTGAAGACTGCTCTCCAGATCAATAAATAGTACCGTATTTTCTTGAGTATAGTGCGCACCCATGTATAATTGGCACCCCCCTCTAGCGGGTTCAATATTTTGGAAAAAAAGAAATTTGAATATTATGCGCAGAATTTTTTTACACCGTACCCTTTCAGCGAAGTCCGGCAAACGAACGGGTGCTGAGAAACTTGTCAGTACAAATTCGAAATTTGAGATAAAAAATCACCAGACATGTTTATTTACCGTTTAAATAGTATTTATTGTTCTGCTAGGCATTGTTTTATATTTAGGGATTAAGATTACCTTGCGTATTTTCTCGTAAACTAAGCTGGAAACAGCAATCAGCTGTACACACGTTTTCTTGGAATCGACCGGTGATTCGGTCAAGACACACCCAATGATATAACTTTATAAGATTTTTAATGCAAGGATCGGCAACAATTGTATCTGAAACTATTTTATTTATCAGGAATAATATATTCCATTATTTTCTTAGTTATATGCAACCTTTACTAAACATATTTAAAATAATAATAACCCTAAGCGAAGCAGCTGATCGCTATTCCCGGGTATTATTTTTTACATGGAACATGTCTGACCAGTCACCGTCAAGGCTCACGCGCACGTAATCACGTGATAGCGAGAATTTCATGTTGACATAGAATCGTCAAACAAAAACAAATATGACTTTTAACGAGTCAAAGTATGTCATTTATGATATATGTATCCATTCTCTGTCAACTAAAGTTTGTTTCAAGGCGTCAATAGCGGTATTCTGACCGTGGTTGCTGCTAATAACGGTGAGTTGTGCGATCTTCCGATCGCTTCACACACGATTTCGCCGAAATTTATAAAAACAATATTATAAGGAATTTTGAATAAAATCAATGAAATAAGTTACAAACATAAGTCCAGATATACAAAGAACACTTTTTATAGCCAGACAGTGTAATTACATAATTATTTTGCGTACTTCAGTATGGATTTGTTGACATGGTATTTCTGGTGTTTCGTGCTCACAGTAATGTCTTTCCATGGGGGGAAAAAACATCCAAACTCATAATTCGTGTATAATGCGCACCCCCTTCTACACAGCTGTGTTTTTTCGAAAAAAAGTGCGCACTATACTCAAGAAAATACGGTAAATAGTTGACGAAATATAGTAAATTATGTATTTTCTTTTGAATTTGAATCTATTTCGGAATTTCTTTTTGATAGCTTACCAACTTTTGCATATTGTGCTTCCATGTGTCACATGCAGTACGTGCTTCCGGTTTCAGATATGACAGCTAAAATTGCAAGTATTTTGATTATTTCTCGTAAACTGCATTATTTTGCTATTGAATGGTTTACCTAGAATGTATATCAATTCAGATTTTGCGTGTCATCCAATATTTGTCATTTTTCGCAGTGTTTGTTGACTTTGTTCAACTCAACAAATCGCGAGGTAGGCCACGCCCAAACGTATCAATGACGTTTGTCAATGTGTCCGAAAGTTTATCAAACGAAATCATTTGCAAACTCAATGTTTTTCAAATTAATTTCTGACAACTAAGGCGGTGGGGAGGGATATAACACATTGATATGACATAATAACAACATAATATTGTTATCGGTTTATCATTGCAAAAAAGAACAATTTAAAATATTAAAGGCATTGAAAAGTATTATGGAAACTTTTTCTGAGAACATCCCGTCCTCAAAACCGAGGAAAATTTTGGTACACAGCAACTGGATTCAGGGTGTATATATATATAGGCTCAATGTAATTTTGTACCCCAAACAAATTAAATTGTACCCAAAATACTTTGTGAATTTGTACCTAAGAAAATAAGACAATAGATCTATAATTATATTTATGTTTTCATGTACATTGTGAACATTAGTAAATGATTAAACATAAAAAACATTTCATTAAGTTAATAATATGAGGCGACACTTTTCTTATTTCTTGGTTTATGGATTTCAAACTCATTTCAAAAGTGAGGCAGGCCAATTTAAAAAAGAAAAGAAAAAAGAAGCCTCACTTTTTTTACTTGAATTTTGTCCTAAAAAGTTAGGTAGGTATGAAAAAAAATATCCTGGCGTAACAAAAGTAAAATAACTCAATTTTTCAAGAACTTTTTATTATATCCCTGGCACTAGGCTTGTGCACAAATGGCAACATAACAATATTCATGTCATGGATGGAAATGCATGAAAGACGCTGCTATTTTGGCAGCATGGGCAACGTTTAACTCTTTCAACACCAGCCAACCAGAAGATTACTTCTGTGACACCAAGTTCCCAGAGACTCTTGTGTGATAGATGAAACCAACATTTATCAAGGAAATTATATGCTGAAATTAACATCTTTGCTACTACATGTTTGGCCATACACTATTTGAAAGGTCTAATTAATCCTATTGTTTATAAATATGAAAGTTATGTGTATTACATTATTTAAATAATTCATTAACAACTAAATAAAGTTTGTTTTAAATAAAAATAATGTAAGCTAAAACATTCATAACGTCCAGATTAAGGACCAATGAAGCGCAAATTTAAAGATTTTTTCGGCAAATATAAGAATTCATAAAATCCACTTACCCATTTCTTTTTTTATTTTCATTTGTTTACGTTGTTGGAAACGTTATTTTAAAAAGAATTACAAATAATATCTGTCATCACCCATTTCCCGATGATAGTGGCTGTCCGTTCACTAACACGAGGAATTACCTCCGTTTTCAAAGCTTCGTATGAATGACACATACGTCGAAGGCTGCCATGTCAGTATACATTAAAAAAAAACTTATATTGTTTCACCGACAAAATCTGCTACAAGGTTCGTGATTGGTCAAATTTAAGCACGTGACCTAAGGCAGCCAATCAAATTACAGCAACGGTAATTTTCAGACTTTGGCGAGAGGTTTGGGTTAAATCATGTTATTCTGAACGTTTAAGCATGAAATCGTGATCTATATTAAAAATATGGAACTTTATGGATGCATAGAGCTAGGTTACGAGCTGTGACAAAGATTTCTTATGCATATATTTTGGCATTAAGACATCGTGTCAGAGCCGAAAAATCGAGGCGACGAAAGGCGAGATGTCATTTGACTGACGATTACATGCGATCGCACGAAAAGTTGGAAATAATAACTAAGATGTCAGTTTGGCAACTTTTATAGATATATTTTTGATGATTTTATTACTTTGTAAATAAAGACGTTTCAGCACGTGGAATGTCTTTATTTTGCTGTTTGACATGTTCGATGAGGACCCGTTGTCGAAGTGTGTCTGAGAATTTTATTTTCAATAACATTGCGGGAAAATAGTGTCTAGTGAATACATTTTTGATCTATAGATAAAGAAATGATAAAATCAAATGGAATACGTATTTCAGACATTGTGAAATGTGATAGATTTAATAAATGAATGATATGACAAGTACCGGTAGGTTAATATAATTATAAACTATTTTGACGTGACTTGGACGGTCTACCGTGCGGTGTGACTTGTGGCTTTGAACGGCCAACAGTGTTTAAATAGTTAAACTGGTCACCACTGCGCTTTGAGTTGACAAGCTTTGATGGTATTAGAGAAGGATCCCAGCAAGAAATATCAGAGTGACTTCCCTTTGCTTTACTCTCGACGAGGAAATGAAATCTTTTTTCTTTTTTTAAACTTTTTGTCGAAATGATCAACGGTAATAAAAAAAAGAGGGTAATTTTCATTTTTTTTTTTTTAACATTTGGACTTTGAAAGAGTGGCGCATCCATAAACCAAGAAATAAAAAAATTGTCGCCTGATGACTGACCCTTGAAATAGATTGTTTGGTTTTGATAGAAAAGTTAAGTTGGTTAAACCTAAGTTCATTGTGTTGTCTTGATAGGAAAGTGATAGTTAATTAATTTTAGGATACTAAAATTAATGTATATCTTTGAAAAAAAAAAGGAAAATTATTCTAGGTAGATCTACAAAATCACATACCCATTTGGGTACCAAATCACTAGCTATTTTGGGTAAAAAAATCACTACATTTGAACTGGATTTTGTGAAATTAAGGATGATTCCTTTTCACATTTTAAGACAAGAATTTGTTTTACGTAACAAAACTGGTAGATCTACACGGCTCATGTTTTGTCCTAAAAATAGAAAGAAAATGTTAAGAGGCCCATAGGGCCTGTATCGCTTACCTGGATATTTACGCAATCATGACAAAATATATTTGCAATGTACATGTATATCATACTGCAAATATATTGTAATTTTGACTGACAGCATTTAAAATGGGTGGATGGCAAATCTGACAGCAGGAATGTGTATTTCTCTAGATACAAATGTCGCATAAAGACCTGAACTGTTTCCATGTTATGATCCAGGATAAATCATAATAAAGGTATTATTCTCTTTATAACAAACAAATGTATATGAACAGAAGGGCCAGTCCTGGTAACATATGAGCATTCCATCATTGTACTCTCAATTGAACATATGGTTTTGAGGTGGGGATCTTTACTGTGTCCAAGTTATGAACTCTATTAGGCCCCGCCCTTTAGTCCCCGGGGTTCAGCCCTGCCATTTCTCCAATTTGAATCATCACCATTGGAGAATGCTTCCAATCAAATATGGTTGATAACTATCTCTTAGTTCCAGAGAGGAAGTCATTTAAAGCAATATAGCCAAATAACCCCTATTTGTGGGGTTAGCCAGTCCAGTCAAATTTTGATAATTTCCAATTAGTGGTTCAGAAGAAGTCGTTTGAATAAATTGTGACGTTCTGACAACGGATGCTAGGTATGGCATAAGGTGAGCTAAAAATATGGACACCTCAGAAATGAGGGCTTTTATTATATAAATGAAGTTATAATTCTCCCTAACTTGTCACATGGTTTTGACAGGTCTAGCAAAGAAAAATCCTCATGAAAAAAATGTTTTATTTTATTTTTATGACACTGACAATATCTAGCACTTAACCAAAGAGCATTCAAATAAAGACATGTTTTTGATAGATAATACAACTTTCCTTTCCAATTCTTGTTTCATGATGGCAGGGGCACTTTTATACACACCAGCTGCAGGGTTAGAAATTGGCACTAGTACTATAGTCCTTGCCAAACTGCCCAATGGTAAAGGTATCATAAGGACTAGTGGAAAATTGCCATTTTTAAGGGTTTTGCTATATGTTATTATAAGGACTTGTGGACGAAAACTGTTAGTTTCTAAAGCTGCAGCTGAGGTAGTTGTGATACTGTAATTGCATATAAAGGAAAAACAGGTTTGCAGCGGTACTTATTTGTGCAAAATAGATCACATAAGGTGAACTAAAGTCATGGGGTGTGGCTGAGGCAAGGATATTCATGTACACAGGCACATTTCTTTTCACTCCAACCATAAGACAGACATGTGGAACATGATAAGGACCTTTTTTGACTCGATATTCTGAAACCCATCAATTGATCAAGGATGTCAGATCCAATGCTGGTGATGATCTGCATTTATTTTAATTTTATTTATACATGTACATCAGACTGACAAATAGATGAAAACCTGTTGACCACAGTCATTTACAATGGTTCATGTTCCTTCAGGCATTAATATTTTTGTAAATAGAAATTATTCAATCAAAACATGATTTAAGATATTGGAGATATGATACGGAAATTAGTTTGACGGTTTATGCAGGTTCCTAATAAGGGACACCCACTCATCATCCAAAATGTCTTGAAGGAGCTTTTTTCCAAATACTGTATTTTCTTGCGTATAGTGCATAACCCCCTCTAGCGTATTCAGTATTTTGAAAAAACAAAACAAGAAATTTCAAATATGTGCAGAAAAAAATCCATCATACCCCTTCAGCGAATTCAGGTAAACAAACAGGTGATAAAACTCAAATTTGAAAAAAACACACCAAAAAACAAAACAAAACCAAAAAACATAAAAAAATCCCAAGGCATGCTGATTTACCGTAAATCTGAATGGTATTTTTTGTTGCTAGGCATTGTTTTACATGCTGGGATTCAGATTACCTTGTGTATATTCTCTTGAACTAAGCCGGAAACAGCAATCAGCTGTACACACATTTTCTTGGAATCTACCAGTGATTCGGTTAAAACTAACCCAATGATATAACTTCAAAGGATTTTGATGCAAGGAAAATTGTATCTGAAACTATTTTTTAATCATTTAAAAAATAATAACCCTATGTGTAGCACTTTGGTGCAGCTGATCACTATTGCCTGTTATTTTTTCCCAACATGGAACAATTTGACCAGACACCGTCAAGGCTCCCACACACGTGATCATAAAAACTACATGTTGACATAGAATTGTCAAACTACAACAAATATGACTTTTGACAAGTCAAAGTATGGCATTTTTTATATATGTATCCATTGGCCTCTGTCAACTAAAGTTCGTTTCAAGGCGTAAACAGCGGTAATCTGACCGTGGTTGCTGTTAATAGTTATGTGATCTTCCGATTGCTTTAAACACGATTTTGATGAAATTAAAACATTAAAAGGAATTTTGAATAAAATTAATGAAATACAGTGATCCCTCGCTACAACGCTACCTTCGGGGTCCAAATAATTGATGAGCATTATAGATGATCAGCAGTTTAACGAAGGTTGAGTCGCAGGTGGTAGATGACAACAAAACAGTATACATGCTCTGCCTACCTAACACGATCTACCTTGCACGTTTCAGGGTTTCAAAAAAGATTAGAATAGAAGTTATTTATGATTCATAGTGTAGAAAAAGATTTATCAAGTATTAATATGCGCTTTAAAAAAACCCAACACATTGTATCCCTTCAGGAGAATAAACAGGTAGATCTATAACAAACTTGGTCAATAAAAGTATGAAATTTTATAAAAAACATCACTAGTAGACATGATGATTTAACATTTAAAATATATTTCCTGCTCTCTAAGGTATTCTTTTATATGCAGAGATTAAGATTACCGTGTGTATTTTCCCGTAAACTAAGCCGGAAATAGCAATCAGCTGTGCACGCGTTTCCTCCCAATCTACCGTGATTCAGTTAAAACGTACCCAGTGATACCACTTAAAAGAAATTTGATGCAATGTTGGAAGAAATTGTATCTGATATTATTATTTTATCAGGAATAATATATTCATATATCGTGTTATTTTAGTTGCAGCTTCCACCATATATAGTTAAAATTATAAGAACGACAAGCGTAGCACTTTGGTACAGATTGTATGCAGGATATTTTTTGACGTATGAAACGATTTTGACCAGTAACCGTAGGGACTTTCCATGCTGATTGTATTTCGATAGCGAAAACATTATGTTGACATTTAATAGTCAAACAGCCTCAAATATGACTTTTAGCGAGTCATGGTATGGCATTTATGATATTTGTATCCATTCTCTTGCAACTAAAGTTCGTTTCAAGGCGTTAATAGTGGTAATCTGACCGTGGTTGCTGTTAATAATGGTGAGATCTACCGATCACTTCGCATACGATTATAGAATGTAATAATTGAATGAAATTTAAAATATATACTACTCAAAAGTTAAGGATCACCTGATTCTTTCATATTACAATAGTTAAGCTCATGCCATGACAGATTAACTTTACCAATATGAAAGAATTGGGTGATCCTTAACTTCTTTTGAGTAGTATAATTAAAATATATATATGGCAACATTAGTCCAGTTAAACAATTATTACAAGATATTATAATAATAGGATTAAATTGTGTACTTCAGTTCGGATTTGTTGACTTGTATTTCCGCTGTTACGTGATCACTGATAATGTTTTCTGAGATGGGGGGAAAACATTGTGTCTTTGGAAAACTTTAATGTATTGAAAATGTTAGTAAATTTGGGGAGCCATGCTTTACCACGCGATATAACCGAGCTAGCGCTATATTGAAGGGCGCAATAACGAGGGAACACTGTAAGTTACAAACTGAAGTCCAGATATACAATGAACACTTTTTATAACCAGACAGTGTAATTACTTGATAAAGTACAGATTTGTTGACATGGCATTTGCAGTGTGACATGCTCATGGTAATGTCTTTGCTTGGGGGGGGGGGGGGGGGAGAGGAGTGAGAGAGACATCAAAAATCATTATGTATAATGCGCACCCTCTTCTACACAGCTGTATTTTTTGGGGGAAAAGTGCGCACCATACTCAAGAAAATAGGGTATTGTAATCAATATGCCGCTTGCCTCATCCAAGATTGAATAAATCCTGAAAAATCCCTTCAATCCAGTCAAGACAGCATTATTGGTGGGCTGTTTTTAGTGAAAGTCTAGGTCAAAACAAGGTACATGTACTTACAACTCATTGGAGCATCTCCAAATCTCCTTCGCAATTGGTCATGGTTGAATTTCAAAAATGCCTCGTATTGCTCTGGAAAAAAAGATAATAAGGATCACAATATACAGATTTCCAAAAATGAGGTTATCCAGTGAGGACAAGCTTTGGATAATTATTTCTGTTATGTTCATATGATCAAGCTGATGGATTATCAATTAAATATTGTTTGCGCCTTCCTCTTCCTGAGTTGGCTATCCTTTCAGGAAAGGAAGGCTAAATGAGTGAGTGAGTATGGTTTTATGCCGCTTTTAGCGCCTGAAATGGACTTCACACATTGTACCCATGTGGGAAATCAAACCTGGATCTTGGCGTGACGAACGAACACCTTAACACCAAGGCTACCTCACCGTTCCTGGCTAAATGAAGCAATGACATGGTATCATTTTAATCTCAAACCATGACAAATCTCTCCAAAACAGAAAATGTATTAGCAAACTTGAAGTACCACCACAGCAACTCAAAATTTCAATGGCATTGCTTTTAACAAATGGTAAATTGATGATCGAACATGTCAAAGAGCAAAATAAAGAAGATTCATGTAAATTGGTAAATTAAATAAAGTAATAAACAAAACCAATAAAAGAAAAATATACAAATTGTCAAACTTGTTAATTGTGTAATGCAAGTCAAATGACATCTCAGCATTTGTCACCTGATTTATAGGCTCTGACACAAGTTTTAACAAGAGTTTGCCACTAACGTGGCTATATCCCCCACCCCTGTAGCAGAATTGATGACATAATTAAATCTAAACAAACCCTAACCTTTTTTAACCGAGGTGGAACTTGTCATGGAAATTGTATAAAAAAGAAGAGTTTAGAACCTAAACCCATCTTGTTGCCATCGAAACGTAAAAAATGTAAATTTCTAAAATTTCTAAAAAGCATAAGGCACCAGTTCAGCATGTACCTGACAAACCTTTTACCGACCTTTTAAGCGTAAATTTAGAAGGAAATTATTACACATCACATTCATAATAATGTGTTCTAATCACTATCAGTAGATTATTTTGTAAAATAATAATACTTAGAAAAGGTTGATTCTGTTTATTCAAACAAGTGTCAGACACTAACAAGAGTTTGCCACTAACGTGGTTATATCCCCTGCCCCTGTTGCAGAATTTATGACATAATTGAATCTAAACAAACCCTAACCTTTTTTAACCGAGGTGGAACTTGTCATGGAAATTGTAAAAAAAAGATGAGTTTGGAACCATGTCCATCTTGTAAACGTAAAAAATAAATATTTCTAAAATTTATCAATAGCAAAAGGCACCAGTTCAGCATGTACCTGACAGACCTGCAAAGTTTGATGAAAAAATATTGAACGGTTTCTGAGTTATGCTCCGGAAATGAACCCTACCCTCACAGAACCTAAGTCCATCTTGTTGCCATGGAAACGTAATAAATGTTAATTTCTAAAATTTCTAAATAGCAAAAAGCACCAGTTCAGCATGTACCTGACAGACATGCAAAGTTTCATGAAAAAATATTGAACGGTTTCTGAGTTATGCTCCGGTCACGAAACGTGACGGACGGACAGAAGGAGACAGTTTCAATATCCACGCCAACTTCATTGGGCGGGGGATAAAAATAGGTTGTGATGCCTTGGTTAAGTTAAAATGTTCAGGATAACACGATTGAAGTATTTTTTGAATATATCATACGGCACTTCATAGTAGATTACGGCTAGGGGTGTCACTATACAGGCACCTCAAGATTTGAAGGTCAAGATATCAAGAGTATCTTGATACAGCAATACCGACCTTTTAAGCGTAAATTTAGAAGGAAATTATTACACATCATATTCATAATAATGTGTTCTAATCACTATCAGTAGATTATTTTGTAAAATAATAATACTTAGAAAAGGTTGATTCTGTTTATTCAAACAAGTGTCAGACACTAACAAGAGTTTGCCACTAACGTGGTTATATCCCCTGCCCCTGTTGCAGAATTGATGACATAATTGAATCTAAACAAACCCTAACCTTTTTTAACCGAGGTGGAACTTGTCATGGAAATTGTAAAAAAACCATGTCCATCTTGTAAACGTAAAAAATAAATATTTCTAAAATTTCTCAATAGCAAAAAGCACTAGTTCAGCATGTACCTGACAGACCTGCAAAGTTTGATGATAAATATTGAACGGTTTATGAGTTATGCTCCGGAAACGAACCCTACCCCTCACAGAACCTAAGTCCATCTTGTTGCCATGGAAACTTAAAAAATAAACATTTCTAAAATTTCTCAATAGCAAAAGGCACTAGTTCAGCATGTACCTGACAGACCTGCAAAGTTTGATGAAAAAATATTGAATGGTTTATGAGTTATGCTCCGGAAACGAAACTTGACGGACGAACGGAGCCCGTTTCTATATCCCCCGCCAACTTTGTTGGGCAGGGGATAACAAGTTAGTTGGAACTTGAAATGTACTTTTAAGAAATGCTGAAAAGTGAATACAGTCCCACATTTGTTTGTCATTTAAATGAATGGAAGTGTTCAATTGCTTCATGTCACTTGTGACCACATCTTGGGGAAACAAAATAGTTATCACACATCATAATTAACTCAATGTCAAGCCTCACTTCACCATAATCAAATCATTTATCAGTCAGCTATTGTCATACTTTGTCAGCTACTTTTATGAGTTACTGGTAATTAACAACACTGCCCTGAACATGCTGAACCAGCTCCACCAGTAAAATACCACGAAGAAGAATTAGTATAAAAATGATTCAGCCTACATAGCATAAATGGAAAAAAATGTCAAATGTTCTTATATCTTAATTTAAAAATAAAAAGCCAACAATATAAACACTGCTTAACCCAAGCAACAAATACTAACACTAAACACTGGTTAAGTCTGACCAGACAATAACATCTACCGTATTTTCTTGAGTATAGTGCGCACCCATGTATAATGCGCACCCCCCTCTAGCGGGTTCAATATTTTGGAAAAAAAGAAATTTGAACATTATGCGCAGAAATTTTTTACACCGTACCCGAAGTCCGGCAAACGAACGGGTGCTGAGAAACTTCGTCAGTACAAATTCGAAATTTGAGATAAAAAATCACCAGACATGTTTATTTACCGTTAAAAAGTATTTATTGTTCTGCTAGGCATTGTTTTATATTTAGGGATTAAGATTACTTTGCGTATTTTCTCGTAAACTAAGCTGGAAACAGCAATCAGCTGTACACACATTTTCTTGGAATCGACCGGTGATTCGGTCAAGACACACCCAATGATATAACTTTATAAGATTTTTAATGCAAGGATCGGCAACAATTGTATCTGAAACTATTTTATTTATCAGGAATAATATATTCAATTATTTTCTTAATTATATGCAACCTTTACTAAACATATTTAAAATAATAATAACCCTAAGCGAAGCAGCTGATCGCTATTCCTGGGTATTATTTTTTACATGGAACATGTCTGACCAGTCACAGTCAAGGCTCATGCGCACGTGATCGCGAGAATTTCATGTTGACATAGAATCGTCAAACAAAAACAAATATGACTTTTAACGAGTCAAAGTATGTCATTTATGATATATGTATCCATTCTCTGTCAACTAAAGTTTGTTTCAAGGCGTCAATAGCGGTATTCTGACCGTGGTTGCTGCTTATAACGGTGAGTTGTGCGATCTTCCGATCGCTTCACACACGATTTGCCGAAATTAATAAAAACAATATTATAAGGAATTTTGAATAAAATCGATGAAATAAGTTACAAACATAAGTCCAGATATAAAAAGAACACTTTTTATAGCCAGACAGTGTAATTACATAAGTATTTTGCGTACTTCAGTATGGATTTGTTGACATGGTATTTCCGGTGTTTCGTGCTCACGGTAATGTCTTTCCATGGGGGGAAAAAACATCCAAACTCATAATTCGTGTATAATGCGCACCCCCTTCTACACAGCTGTGTTTTTTCGAAAAAAAGTGCGCACTATACTCAAGAAAATACGGTAAACTTTTCTTTCATTCGCTTGCAATTTTCATTATAAGTTTACAACTCAGGGTTTCAGATGGCTGTCGGTCACCGGTCATAGACTGATAAAATTTCTATTTGACCGATGGTTTGTTTAAGTTGTTGGACTTTTGACCGATAGAAATGCTAAGCAAGCCGTCACACGTGTCATAATTTCATGACTAAATAGTAGGGATTATTCCACTCAGGGTATCGATTTTAATGCCCGATGAAATGCTCTCATAAAGTTTAGTGCCAATCGAGAGAATGTACAATACACATATTGTCCTGTTTTCTATCCGAGCTTTCAGCATCATATACAGTGAGTGTTCTCTCGCTATTGCGCCCGTCAATAATAGCGCTTACTCGGTTATAGTGGGCGGTAAAGCATGGTCCCAAAATTTACTTATGTTTATAATAAACTCAAGTTTTCCAATGACACGATGTTTTCCCCCCATCTCAAAAAAACATAATCAACTGATCACCGCGATCACGTAACAACGGAAATACCAGTCAACAAATCCGAACTGAAGTACGCAATTTAATCCTATTATTATAATATCTGGTTATAAAAAGGTGTTCATTGTTTATCTGGACTTACGTTTGCAATATATCTTATAGATTTTATTAAAAAATTTATTCAATAATTATAATAATTTTGGCGAAATCGTATGCGAAGTGATCGGTAGATCGCACAACTCACCGTTATTTACAGCAACCACGGTCAGACGCCTTGAAACGAACTTTATTTGCAAGAGAATGGATACACATATCATAAATGCCATACCTTGACTCATTTAAAGTCATATTTGAGGCAATTTGACTATTAAATGTCAACATAACACTTTCGCAATCGAAATACATGTAGCGCGGGAAGTCCCTTCGGTGACTGGTCAATTTGTTCAAAACGTAAATAATTAGATCTAACTATGTGAAATCTCCGCAAAAATGCTGAAAATCGCGTTTTTTAAAACTGTGGTCCTCGAAAAGAGTCATCTTCCTCGTAAAAATATAATCAAAGATTAAAAAAAATACTCCGAAAATATCGTGTTTCCGGAGAACCGTCGTGGATTGTCCTGTTTTCGATCAGAACTTTCAGCATCAATTATGCCTTTCTTATTATTCATGACACAATACTATTATCGTCGGATCATAGGTTTTCGGACATCATACGTTTTCAATCACGAATACTTGCACCATAACGGTAGTCGTCACACAGAAATTATAAATACTCAGATGATGGCTTGATTCTAAGATAAAGTTGTCCTTTATGAATAAGTGAATGAGAAGTTTTACACTTACAGTTGTTCATGTGATCAGCGAGAAAACTATGACTGTTTCTTCAGTGTCCGAAAACCCATAACCCTGGATATGTGTTGAAATAATGTCATGTTTGCAATGTTTTTTTCAACAAAAGGTAAGTAAGTACAAGGCTATTTAAAAAAAATATATATTTCAACATGGGGAAAGGTCAGACATTGCACGCTTGTGACAGTTGTCCTCGTGTCTGGGGGATGGGGGGTGAAGTTGATGGCAGTATTGCTCCCAGACCCGGCAGGTAGCCGGGTGTGCGGAAGCTATGCCCGATTTTTTAAAAGTATTGATTTAACTTCGAAATTTTACTGCATCAAGAATCTTTGTTTAAGTGACTTGTTGACTTTTGCCACTGACTTATTACATTTCTTGGGTCCAAGTCATTGACCTGTATACAGCTTTTTGTGTCAAAATCACTGCAACTTCCATTTTCATCCAAATTACTTGTATATTTACTTGAGATTGCAGATGGATGGTGCCTTTGTAAGTGAAAGCTCATGTTGGTTGTGCTACCAGTGTAGGAAATGTGCATTTTACACATTTACACAGAGCCGAGAATTCAAGGCGACGAAAGCCGAGATGTCATTTGACTTACATTACACGCGATTGCATGAAAAGATGAAAATAATAACTAAGATGTAAGTTTGATTACTTTTAGATATATTTTTGTTGATTTTATTTATTACTTTGTATAATATATTTAAAGATTTGTTTAAAAGGTCTTTATTTTGCTCTTTGACATGTTCAATGTGGACCTGTTGTCGAAATGTGTGCCCGAGAATTTTATTTTCAATAACATCGCGGGAAATAGTGAATAATTTTTTAATTTATCGATATAAAATGATAAATTGAAATGGAATACGTATTTCAGACATTGTGAAATGTGATAAGATTTAATAAATGAATGATATTACAGGTAGGTCCTTAAAAATATATACTATCTTGACGTGACTACGGCTTGGCCGGAAAACCGGCCTACAGTGTCTGGGGACTCGATGCTTCTTGGCCCGGAAAACCGGCCTACGGTGTTGAAAGAGTTCAGAAGCAACAATCATACTTTTTTCACCTCTAATACTTACCAGCTACCTTGTTTGTCAAGACTGAGTTGTATTCTTCTCTGATCTGATCTTCTCTGTCTTTGACCATTCTCTCACATATCATACTAACTTGTCTAAATGTGAAAAGAGGTACATCTTTTTTGCTTGGTGATAGGGTGTTATAGAGAGATGACTGGGAGTTTGAAGAGGTTGGGCTCTCCATGCCAGAGGTAGAGGGCATGTCCATGGAGGGATGGGGAGGACTTGTAGAACCTGGATATTGTAGTTGGCGCCTCCTTTGCATCTTCTTTATCTCCAAACTAATGCTAGCAGCAATTTGTTCTGAAAATGACAAAAAAATTATATACTCCAAAGATGCTATTAACTGGGCCAAAGCACTTAGAAATCTACAGTTTAAGTCAACACAGAAAGTCAGTTCACAAAAGATGCCAGTTTTCACATTCACAAATATCAATACCAATCAATAAAACAGCCCCAGAAGAAAATTCTGCGATACAATAAACTAGTGCTAAGCATAGCGGAGTTATGCCCCCTTTTCTTTGTGTGTAACCTCTGTCGCCTTTTGGCGTCAGAGAAAATTAATTAATTAATTTACAGCATGCTATTTTTTACATTGAATGTATGTCGTTATACATACGCACATAACTCCATTTGATATGTAGTTATGTCGTTCAGATATAAGGCAGTATTTTGTTCGCTCACGGTTTCCGTAAAGCTTCTAAATAAAAAAAATCGTTGCACAGTACTTTTATCGTGTACGATAATAATCGGAGAAATTTACTGTTTTTCAATGCAGAATAAATTGTCAAACACTTAGAAGTGTCTTTTTTTAAAAAACGGTTTAATACTGGCAGTTAAATTTACACCATCAAATAGGAAATTTATTATTTTCCACCTCTGCGTAATTTTATAGCCAGAAATAAATCCAGTGCCACGTGAGCGCAATTCTGGCACAACCTTCCCTTTTCGGATCTTAGGAAAATATGCGTCAGAAAAGAAAACTCGGCATCCAGAGGGTTAAGAGCCCATTAGCTAAGGAAATAAACTGTAAAGCGGCAGGAAAATGATGGATGCCTCAGCAGAATTTGTGTGAATATGGCGGTATGCCATAGGCATGATAGGTGTCCGGTATTGCATTCTTTCTAAATTAGTTTTAGAATTGTGTTTTTAGAAGAAAAGAAAGATGGTAGTAAGCAATGACAGAACTAAATGGGCATCATTATGTTGCTGGATTTCTGTCACATGACAACAATGTGTCTTTTAAAAATTTGTATTTGAGCAAGGTACTCATATGGTGTTTTTTTGGCCCTTGTTTATATCAGTTGACATCCCAGGTCCCTTTAATATGATTAAACCTCGAAATTGAACATCAAAGCAATTCCTATACATCTAAACTCAGACAACATTATCACATGAAAATAGCTCATGGTGAGCGAAAACAAGAAACCTGTGGTATTTTTTATTAATTTTGGAAACTGAAAATGGCACTTATGACAGGTTCGGGTTCCAAGGACTTACAAAAGCTCTTTTTAATCTGGCGAGATGTCTGAAAGACATAGAAACTTACTATGCAAGGGACTAGCTTGTGCATATCCCTTCCCAAAAAGGTGGAGGGGTAGTCTGTATACATACTGCAGTAGCCAACCAATGAAGCCAGCTAACTGCTGTCGTCTGTGTCCTTAGCATTTCGAAATCATTTCAAGGATGTATTGTTTAATGAATCCAAAAGTAATTTGGCTGTCAAATTGTCATTAACCAAACATTTTAACAGTTACACATGGAGAGTGAATTTCTTTCGCGGATCATTTGTAACACAACAAAATCCTTAGTACTGGTACAGATAAAGACCCAAAATGTAACATTCTACCCAGATTTTTTTGATTACCTGAAGTGTATTTTGGAGTCACATCTGCAAATGGGGATGGATTGAGCTGATGTGCCTTTGTTGGGGGCGTTGATGGTGACAGTGTCATTGGCATACACCTTCTTCGCTTTGGCGTTCCTTGACCAGGACTATGCAATGGGTCGAAATCATGACTTCTCTTGAGCGTTGCTCCACAAGCCATCTTTTCACCACAAATTGGTCGATGGCTCCCTTGTTTCAATCACCCACAAATCAATAGAAATCCACGGAAAATATTAAATAAACAGTTATAGACGTAGTTCGATAGTATTTCTTCTCTTCTACGACCGAAGACTTTTAAAAATATCTCAACTTTATCAACGATGGTCGCAGATTACCAACTGCTCACCGTACCAACCGATATTTAAAATGGCCGTTTGAGTCCGATAATATGCGCCTCGATCTGACATACAGGTTTGTGGTAATGTGAAATTCGATCATCAAATACGTTTTTGGATTTATCGTACATCATAACACACGAAAAGTATGAGTGGTAATTAGGTATTAGAATAGGGGTGTCTTTTTATTATGGAACATGTCACTCTAAAAAATGACCTCAAACAGAAAGGACTAGTAAATGCGCACACTAAAACCAGAATTCGTGTTTGTTACAATCGGTATTTTCAACACCGGAAGTAAACAATCTTTGTGACTCTCTTGATAAACCCGGTAAATACAGTGTCAGCAGAAATAGTATTTCCCTGTCATTGAGTATATATGCCATGATTAGGAGCTCAACCAGACCCTTTTATATTCACATTTGGCACGATCGCTACCACTAAGATAGTATAAGGACCCAATGCCAATGACAAGTTGTAAAGAAATTTACAGATGACTCAAAAGAGTTAAATTTTCCGGGGCCTCAACAATTCAAAAGGTAAGTAAGATCGTAAACAGCTGGTAAAGGACGCCAAAGGGTGACATTCTCTAGGTATAGTGCTACATGTGTTTATAGTAATTCTGCCGTGTGAAATATTACAGCTTTCTCGCGAGATGATGTGTAATAAAATAACTAGAATGTAAGATATGTGCATTTAGAAATCATTTAGAAAACGGCACCAGAGTGGCTGACATGGCACCTGTTTTGCCTGGGAAAACGGTACCATTTATAATATTTGGTATCTTCGCATACTGTGTTTTCGCGCCCCTAAGAAGTATTGGAGCACCTTTAGAATACATGCAGTAGCCTGCAACCTCAGGGTATCACGGTACTTGTCATATACGCTAATTTGAACAAAATGCACTCACTAACCTTTATGATTATTCATGTTCTCTATATCAGGTGTTATTTATTTTGTCTAAATATGCATATTTTACTTATAAAAGTTCATTATTTACATTAGTTGCACCGAGTAAAAGCTGGGCCTCGCGCTCAGTTTGACAAAGGAGAGAACTCCATTGTATTGCGGGACAGGGAAAAGTTGTGTATGAAGGTCCGAATTGGACAAAAGCAGCCACTAAGTATAATGTTCTTGAATGATCCTTGCTCTGTTGATTAATGATATGATCCTTGAAGGAGTGAAACGAAGACTTTTATTCGTCGTCAATGTAATGAATACTGAGTGCCGCCATTGATACTGGCTCGCACATGGTCAATCCCAAAACGAGACCCTGACCTCTGACCCATACATATACAAGGCCGTAGTTAACTTTTTTTGACAGGGAGGGCAAATATTTGTACGAGTATGACTTGTCCTACACTTGATTCAAATAAAACTGTTTTCTATAAAAAAAATCCAGGGGGGCAACTGCACCCCCTGCCCCCCGGCTGTCTACGGCACTGATATGCATACAATTATAAACCTTGATTGCATACACACTACAATCCTCCTTAACTTTACATTAAAAAGTAGGGCAACATACAACTGATAAGTAATAATCTCAAAACTTACTAGTTAAGCCAGATATCCTGATTGCCTAGAAGAATATTATCTTGAAAACAATCCTATCAGATTATATAAATCACAATATTAACTTAAACTTCTAAAATGATGAACAACCTCAAATACCGCCCTTAACACTGACATAAATCATTACTTTGCTGAATATTAAGATAATAGGGATACTTTCTTGAACAAACATCAAATCTTATGTAAGAAATTGAAGAATATACAATTGTATTCTATCTGCATACTAATCAATAAAAGAACTAGACCACTTTTACATGAACTAACCAGTGGAATTATAAATCAACTGTTGTCAACCTTTATGTTCAACCTTTATGCTCCGGATAGAACATATCTTTGATGATCATAATATGTTCAAAAACACTTTCTAAAAGTTCTGATATAGAGATCACACTTCATGTGTACATTTGTGATTTTACATCACTAATGTTTCTGGATATAATGTATCATTTTGTAGTCCCGGAATCGAACTGGCAAAGTGATGGATCTGGTAGAACGTCTGTTTGGTAGTTTCAGGATGGAAGTAGGCGAAATATGTTCTCTTTGAACTTCATCTGATGTTTCACCTGACTGATTTGAATTATCAATTTGAGAGTCACCGTCACCATTATCCATACTATCTGCAGATCTTGCCATCTCCTCTCGTTTATAGTTAGACAGTTCTTTTGAATCAATACTGATTGGTTTGAAATGTGAGAAGTTTCGGGTTATCTTTTGTGCACTACCAACATGCTTTGCAGTTATCATCGATCCGTTCTCATCCGTGATCACATACAGATGAACATCGAATGCAGGTGTCAGCTTGTTCTTCCTCGGTTGGCGGACAAGTACTGAGTCACCAACACTTAAACTGGATTCCTTAACTTGACGACGTTGATTTGCGTACAGTCTCATCTTCTCTTTGTTGCGGATGTCGTCCAGTCTTATTTGAATCTCATTCTTGATTTTTGGTTGTAGATTGCGAGTATTCACCTGTGGTAATTGAGTATTCATAGATCTTCCTGTAAGTGCTTCGAATAGGCTTACATTGGTGCTTGAATGTGGAGTTGCCCTATAACTGCGAAGGAATTTGAAAATTTCCTGCTTCCAATTGAGTCCTTCTGCACACGAAGCTTGTGTACACTTTTTGAGATTGCGCATGAAGCGTTCTGCTTCTCCGTTAGCTTCTGGCCATAGGGGGGTTGATTTTGCGATGCTGAAATCCAAGGTAATTTGCGAACTGTGTAAACTCCTTACTGTTGAATAGTGGACCATTGTCTGATTTCACAATTCGAGGTATTCCTTGCCTCGAGAATATGGCATCAAGCTTTGGACAAACAGATTTTGCTGATGTTGATTGAACAAATTCCACTTCTGGATATCGACTATAATCATCTACAACCACTAGCAAGTATTCTCCAGACGGATAAGGTCCTGAGAAGTCGATCGACACATTTTCCCATGGAGATGATGGAAGAATTGTCATTTTGAGTGGTTCTCTATGAACAGGAGTGTCGATAGTTGACTGACATGCGATGCAGCGCTTGATCTTGTCTTCAACTAGATGATCTATACCAGGAAACCATTCCTTTTCACGTAGGAGCCTCTTGGTCTTTACTATTCCTTGATGTCCTTGATGCGCAAGATCAACTGCCTGATGCTGTAGAACTTGGGGGATCACAATCCTGTGGTCTCTCAAGACTGTTCTGTTGTATACAGCATATTCGTCCTTGAATTGTACGAATGGTTCAAGTTCAGGATCCAACCAGTTTTCTGTTTCGACTGCAATGATCACCTTTTGGAGTACTGTATCCAGCTTTGTAGCTGCTTGAATTTCCTCGAACTTGAGAGCCTTGGGTACTGCGATCATGGTAACGTAGTTTACATAGTCTTCTGCTATGTTAGGTAATGATGAAACCTGGGGTGGATGACGACTCATGTAATCTGCTGGGTTGTTTTCGTCACGACCCAGTTGGTAGGCAAGTTCTTGTAAGGCATAAGTCGGATGCGCCACCTCTCTATTCTGGCTGAAGTTGGTTTTCGGCTTTTAAAGATTCCGAGAAGCGGTTTGTGGTCTGTGATTATCTGGAACTTCTTCCCGAATGTATACTGGCGAAAGTGTTCAGCTGCCCATATGACTTCCAACATTTCTCGTTCCGTTTGGGAATAACGGGATTCAACATCAGATAATGCCTGGCTGGCATAGCTAACAACTTGATTTTCCTGAGTGAGAATTGCACCTAAGCCTGATGGGCTAGCATCTACAAACAGCTTTACCTCCTTCTGAGGGTCAAAGTAGGACATCACTTCACTGCTACTAAGAGCGGACTTGAGTTTGGAGAAAGCATTCTGCTCCTTTTCATCCCAAGGCTTCCAAACACTACACCTCTAAACCTACTAGTTGAACGGCTTCCAAACACTACACCTCTAAACCTACTAGTTGAAAGGCTTCCAAACAGTGCACGTCTAAACCTACTAGTTCATAGGCTTCCAAACACTACACCTCTAAACCTACTAGTTTAAAGGCTTCCAAACACTACCACACTAAACCTTCTAGTTTAACGGCTTCCAAACACTACACCTCAAAGCCTACTAGTTGAAAGGCTTCCAAACACTACACCTCTAAACCTACTAGTTGAAAGGCTTCCAAACACTACACCTGTAAACCTACTAGTTGAAAGGCTTCCAAACACTACACCTCTACACCTACTAGTTGAAAGGCTTCCAAACACTACACCTGTAAACCTACAAGTTGAAAGGCTTCCAAACACTACACCTCTAGACCTACTAGTTGAAAGGCTTCCAAACACTACACCTGTAAACCTACTAGTTGAAAGGCTTCCAAATACTAAACCTCTAGACCTACTAGTTGAAAGGCTTCCAAATATACTGCTCACACAAAGTAGGGGATATTGAAAAGTTACGACGAAAAGCTTCAGAATTATGTTTAATTTTCATTGGGAAACAATAATAATGTGGAAATAAGAATGTAAAGAAACAGTTTTGAAAGTAATGACTTTGTTCAAGCTGCAATTTCATTTTGTAGACACTGGAAAGTTCATGAGGGGTAGAAACCCAAAAGTCATAAATGGGTTAATACCGGGTTGGCCCACCATTAGCAGCCAAACAAGCATTACACCGACGTCTCATACTCCTAATGAGGCGACCAATGTGAACTTGGGGAATCCTCTGCCATTCCTCTTGGAGTGCCACGCCCAGTTGTTGCAAGTCTTGACATGGGGGATGCCGCCTCTGCACTTGTTTTCCGAGCATATCCCACACATGCTCTATAGGGGAGAGGTCGGGGGACATCGCTGGCCATGGAAGAGTTTCAATGTGGTGCCGCCGCAAATGGTTAAGGACGACGTGCGCACGGTGAGCCCTGGCATTATCGTCCTGGAAGATGAAACCCTGTCCGTGACGGTGTGCAAATGGCAGGACATGTGGCGTGATGATGTTGTCCCGATAGTAAACACCCGTAACTCTTCCTTGGCAGATGTGGAGATCGGTTCTGCCTGTCACCGTGATTCCACCCCACACCATTACAGAACCCCTCCCATACCGATCATGTGGAATCATGGCAGCTGGCTGATGACGCTCACCAGGACGACGCCAGACACGATGACGGCCATCATTGAAGTCTAAAGAGAACCTCGACTCCTCACTGAACATCACATGGGACCACCGGGCATTGCTCCACCTCTGGTGACGACGACCCCACTCTCGCCGGGCTTGTCTGTGACGGTTTGTTAGGGGTAATGTGATGTAAGGTCGCCTTGCTCGAAGTTCTGCAGCATGGAGCCGGTTTCGTACCGTCTGTGTGGAGATGAGATTCCCAGTGGCATGTCTGTGAACCTGCTGCAGCTGTGTCGCATTTAAACGTCGATCACGGAGGGCTCCAGTGATGATCCGCCGGTCATCACGTCTGGTCGTGCATTTTGGACGACCACTTCGGGGTCTGTCTTGAACCCTTCCAGTGGCAATGTAACGT